GCACAACAGAAATCGAGTTATGGACTTGGACATAAGTCGACTCGACGAGTCTCTCATGGGACTCGACGAGTTAGGGGTTGGTCTCCCCAACCTTTCCTGATTTGAAGGGATCCAGTTAAGTTTAGAAGGGATCTAGACGAGTCCAGAAGAAGGACTCAACGAAATAGACATAGTTATGGACCTGGAAACCATGGGACTTGGCGAGTGGATGAACACACTCGGCGAGTCCAAGGCAATCTCCCAACCTATGAAGACGGACTCGACGAGTTGTTCATACAACTCGGCGAGTCACAGACTTGTCACACTTATATGATGAAGATGGACTCGACGAGTTCAAGGACGAACTCAGCGAGCCATATGAAGATAGACCTGATGTTATGTTTGAAGGGGAACTCGTCGAGTTCTTGCTAGACTCGACGAGTAGAGTCGGGGTTGGGAACAGAAGGAAGAATAGGGACTCGACGAGTTGATGAACCAACTCGGCGAGTCAGGTCAACTAGGTGTTGACGTTGACCAGGATGTTGACTTTAGCCAGGGGTAAAATGGTCATTTTACCCTAAGAGTAGTTATCAGTTTTTAACTTAGTATCTTTATGGGAATTTGTAGCCGGAGAGTCGTCGGAACAGCAGACGGAGATTCCTCACCCAGTTTTTCAGCAGTCAGTCATTCAAGGTGAGTATCCTTCCAGTAGTAACGGGTCTACGGCCACAATTTCGGCCCGTTTAAGTAGTAGAGTATGTCGGGGTGAGCCCGATGCAGTTTATATATTTTCGGACTTCGGTCCGATGTCGGGGCAGTCCCGAGAAGTAATTAAGTATGCTTGATGTCTTTGTGATTCATGCATGTATATGTGTTATGCGTTACGTGTTCCGGGGTAAGCCCGATGTATGTTAGTTATTATGCCATGTATTATGTAATTCGGGGCAAGCCCGATGTATGCTAGTTTATGTGTTATATGCTAATTGTTCCGGGCTTCGGCCCGATGTCGGGGGCAAGCCCGATGCAGATCATGTGATTATGTTATGTGTTTATGATATATGTTATGATGTGTATGTGTCGGGGTAAGCCCGATGCCGGGGCAAGCCCGATGCCGGGGTGAGCCCGATGCCCGATGCGGTCGGATGTCGGGGTGAGCCCGATGCCAAACAGGAGTCCGATGTCGGGTAAGTCGATGTCGGGATTCGTCCCGATGCAGTTGGGAGTAGTCCTAGAGTTATGTTGTTTGTTATATGTGCTTTGTATGGTATGTGGTAGTTTGGGGGAGCTCACTAAGCTTCGTGCTTACAGTTTCAGTTTTGGTTTCAGGTACTTCAGCTAGCAAAGGGAAGGGCTCGAGTTGATGGCATGGCACACACCACAGTTTATTAGCCTGGGAGTTTACTCTGATATTTTATATGAGACAGTTATATGTTCGTAAGATTTTATGAGATTTTGAGATACTTGCTGGAGGATTTTAGCTTATGGTGATAACATTATGTTTGTTAAATGGTTTCAAAACGAAATTTTTGGCTTGTATTTTTGGGATGTTTCAATTGGTGCCTTCAACCCACGAGTATAGTGAAGAAAACTCACCTCAAAGTCTAGGAGATAGTTGAACTGATCACTGCTCCAAATATCGGCTCTACAGATCACCTAAACATCAAACAGGGACCAAGCCTCAATCTCCTACCCAAATTACCCCATTTGACCTAAAGTCAAAACTTGGTCAAAGTCAATAGTCGAAAGTCAAAGGTCAAAGGTCAACCTTCAGTTGGTCGTCATGTCGTGGCAGCAAAATGATGAAACATACGGGCATTTCCCAGTCGCCACGTTGTGGCAAGTCAAGGCCACGTCGTAGGCACTGGGTTTCTAACAACTTAATGGGTTAAGTTGTTTTCTTCGATTTTAAGCGCTCCAAAGCTCAGATCTGGTCCATTCTATGGTCCAAATGGATAAAGTTTCTAACTTTATCCCTTAAGACTCTCCAAGAGATCAAGATCTCAACTCCTTGGTCCAAAAGGGGCAAAAATATAACATGGCTTAAATCATTAAGCACTTAATCTTGAAAGTCTCTTGTCCAACAATTCCAGAAGGGTTCCTAGCACCATTACAAACATAAAAATTCTTGCTTTGTAGGCATGGATGTCCAATGCATGTCTTGAACTCCTATTATGTCAAAACAAGGGTTAATGACCAAGATTCCATGCATAACACCAAAACTCATTCCTATTTCAGATCCAAAACACCAAATACTCCAAATGATTGTCTCTTACATCAAAGGATCCCTACATATTGAGATATGGAATCCTTTCACCATATGGTTGTGATTTTAGGTTGATCGTAGTATGTTTTAATTGGGTCAAGCTTTAGAGGCTTTAAAACTTTAATGTGTCAATATGCATGGTTATTTAATTGTTTTGTATCATATACCCAACGGATCAATAGGGACATTTCCCACCTCGAGTAAAAAGGTGAATTTTGATACTCGCAAATCCTGTGATGGTAGTGTACTAGTGTTGGTATTATTCGTATCGGTGTCGAGCCAAACGAAACCATCAAACAGGTACGTTTGTAGACTACTATGTGGGAGGGGGTTGTCTTCGTGATTATTCGTCGTCACTTGTTGAGGATACGACATTTTATTTTGAGTCCTCACAGATGGTGCCAATAATGGTAGATCCAGTCTCTTGGGGATATCCTTGATTCCTTGGATTGTACTACCAATCTTAAAGCTCTCGTCTTTGACCCGTTGAAAAATAACTCCAACTCGTCTAAATGAAAGGTTAGCAATATTTTGGGAAGATTATTTCAGGAAGAGTTCCTCAATAATACACTTAGATTCTTAAGTTATTGAGGGTATTTGGTAGGATGTATGTAAGTGAAGAATGTAGGAGTATTGTCGCATACCTTATGCATGGCCTGAGAGTCACAATTATAGGGGACAAGCGAAGGAACTACCATCTATGATCTGTTATCCATACGAAAGTTATTCTTGGGTCAACTTTTGCCAATGTAGTTGGACGGAGTCAACTTTTTAAAGCGTTGGGATTTATTTGAGAGAAAAGGGGACATCACGCTTACGGTTTGTCTTTTGTCTTTTAGTGGCTTGACATTATGAGATAGACTTGATTCCAGCCTTGGTCGTGTTATATTAGAGTAGCCTTGGTCGTGTTATATTAGAGTTTCTTTTCGTATGCTTTAGTTTAGAGTTCGAGTTAATCTTTATCTTACGGTTAATATTGGGGGTCGGTATCCTTGTTAAGTTGCAACCCAACCATATTTCATCCAAACCACCTCTAGTTAGGCGGTTCTTGGATTTTCATAAGCTATGCTTGTAACAAAGAGGGTGCACAATGATTCTAAAAGGCCACTTATGTAATAAAGAAGTATGGTTGCTTCGACAGGAATAACCGCCTAAAAGCTCTTGGAGAACAAGACAAAAGTTTATGGTTATAACGACAAAAATAACGATGACAACTCCATTATAAATATATTCATCATTTACACTAGAGGTAGAACCATTCAAAGACATCTGACTACAAATCCTTTTAAAGACATCAAGTATACTCAACTTAGGTCTTTCGGAGTGATCACCAATAACCACAAATATAATGGGTCTCATCACCACACAAAACCATATTAAGTTGGTATATCCACCACTATACATCACTATATCCCGCTTATTTTTTGATTATTTGAATAAAAAAATATTTTTTTAATTAGTTAAATGTAGAGAGATAGAGAAAGATAGAGAGAAAATATATGATTGCATATGGTCAATTGTGGTGGTGACCACATTTCACCACAATGTGATGCTTCCATATTTCATTACATTAGGTTATCCAATGTCCTCACCTGTGAAAATGTAGTGAAGAGCAAGCTACGTCATCATCTAACCATTTCACTAGGTTGTGGAAATGGTGTTCACTAGTAAAGAAGAGAAATGATCCGTAAAGACCAGTGGAAACCTCCACTCCACAAGATAATGGATGGATTTTGGAGAGATGTTCACCGGTGAAAACCCTCCTCCACGTAGTTTCTCACGCGTAAAAAAAAAAAATTATACCAGACATCCTTACCGTAGTGGTGTTCACATCCCACATCAATCACGAGCCATGCTCGTAATATGCAGTCCAAATGGCCTTATAGTGAATAAAAGTTTTGATATGGTTATTCCTAGTGTTTAGTCATGTGTCATCCAATTTCCTATAACTCCCAACATGACGAGTACAAAAAAAAATCATCAGAATAGTTTTGTGAAATTAGTTGCAATTTTATACTCTGAGTTTAGAGACTAGTTAAAGAGATACAAAAATATTTTTCAAATTCTTATTATTTACAAAAGATGCAACCGTATTCTAGGAAACTAAAGAAATTATTTTTCAAATATGTTTTAAGGACACTCTAAGGTCGGCTCATTTAAATTGTTAGGGCTTTGAACACCAACCCCAATTGTTTCAAGCCTTATAGACAAAACTCAAGGTTGGCTCGTGAATAATTGAACAGACTCACACTTGGCTCAAATCATTTGTAATGCAAGCGTAAACAAACCGCAGTTCTGTAGTCCGCTCGTTAAACTTGCTCAAAGCTTGTTTGCCTTATTTAAAGCTTTAACATTGACATGTTAAAAGTACAATCAATTGACTATGCCGCTATTGCGTAATGCAAAAATTGAAAGACAACTTGTGACAGATTCTCAATAAGCTTTTTAGTACAAATTGGACAGCAATATAAGTTGTGCAAATTCAGCAATGTATACAAAAAGAAGAAAATTTTGAGAAATACTCACAATATAACAAGAGATCCTGCCATTATTGATAAGTATCTCCCCACCCATGTGGGGCTGGAATTTTGATTCCTACAAGCTTTTAAAGAACCACTACCCTACCTATCCAACATCCTATGGACCAGTTTTCAAACCCAAAAGCAGAATGTCAACTCCTATCAATCAATTAATAATAATAATAATAATAATATATAATATATAACATATAATAGTATATAATATAATCACCAAAAAAACCTTTATTTCTTTCTTCACTCCACCCCAAAACAAAAATCTCATACCAAAACCAGAGGATTTTGTTCCTTGTTGCCATCTTTCTACTTCAACCTTTTATTCTCTCTTCTCTTCTACCCCTACTCCCCTAATTCCACCATCAATACGTCCACTCATGCGGTAGCCTCAGATCCTTCTCAACCTGTCTCCGCCTCTGCTCCGCCATTAACACGCTCCTCCGGTGCCTCATTTCTGCATCTGCAAACATTAAATTTCAAAACTTGTACTTTCCCCGATTCATTATAATTTGAAAAGTTCAATACCCAATTCTAATCTTACCGTAATCATAACAAGGTCGTCCGCCATTGGATCCGTTTTGAGCTTCAAGATTCAGATTCAGAGCATGTAAAACTCTCTCTGGAAGTAAAACAGTGGAACACCCTGCTGCAGATACACAAAATCAGATCAATTGGCAGTCGCAATCATGCTAATTGCTACAATATAAGTTAATTGTCGTGTAATATAATTTGCCATTTTTGGGAAAAGTATTGGGAATACAAAAGGGGCCAAAACAGAATCAGAATGGTCGATGAAAAATCAACTAAAATCCAAATTATTAGAGAAAGGGGAGAGATAACAGACCTCGTTTCTTTGGGGGCTCGGCCGGAGCTCCGATTTGGCGAGGCAAGAAAACCCCAGTGCCAGTACATTCTCGTTTGGTGGTTGGGTTTCCAAGAAAGACAGCCCTCATACCCGATCCCGGTGGTGGCTGTTGCTGAGATTGTTGCAGAGTAGGCCAAGCAGATAACGGCAGCGCCGCCGGTTTCATGTTTCCTCCAGACGTCCTACCCCTGGTTGGTGGTATAAATTGCTGATACTGCTGTTGTTGATGTTGATGTTGCTGCTGTTTCAACTGCTGAAAATTCTACATGTTAACTAGATATATAGAATGAAATTGGAAATTTTGGATGAGAGCTAAATTAGGTTTTTACTTGAGCAGCTTGAAATTGTTGAAGTTGGAAATTAGGGCTTGGAATTCTTCGAGGTGCTTGTGGAGCTATGTGATTTCTGTTAGAATCCACCATCCTGAGCCTCGCAACTTCACCAGCAGCTGCGTACAGAAGATCCCAGGCGGTTTCGGTGTGAGTCACCGGCGGCGCCGGTGAAAGACAATTAGTACTCCGACTGCTCGTCGTCTGCTTACAGCCGCACAACGTAGATTGGGGCGACCCCGACATAACACTTGTTGACTAATTTAATTGAGACATAAAACCTCATTCAGGAATCATGGTGAAAGGGGGAGAAATTATCAAAAGAAAAAACTGAGAAAAAAAATAAAACCTTCGAGTGGTGACTTTCCAGACCGGAACTGTTTTCCGTTTTCCAGTAATTATCTTCAAGAGTGGACTGAGCCAGCTTTCGAGACAGTTCGTTGAGATAATCTTCTTCGTCACTCTCGGTCTCCGTTGAACCCATTACAGACTCCACCGGAGAACTGAGATCGGAGTCTGGCCCATACATAGTTGACGTACCTTTGTTTCTTCCGGACTTGAAGTCCACAAGCACGTCGTCGTCGTTCAGGAACTCCGTCGGCAGCCAAAACATGACATCATCCATCTCTTGATCCATTGAAGGTTCTTCAGTAGTTAAACAAGTAAACAAGTAGCTGATTTAACACGAAATGCTTAATGGGAAATTGGGGGTTGCTTCTTGTTGAAGGATAATTATAGCCTTCAATCTGTCCGTCGTGCTTGCCTGCCTTTTTACCTGTGGACCCCGCCGTTTATTAGAAATAGAACATGGGAGGGAGGGAAGGGCGGGAGAGATGGAGGCAGAGGGTGCAAGTGATTGGAATATTAAATATAGAGGGAAATGGGAACCCTAAAAGCTGAGGCGTGGACTACACGCGCTTAAAACGCGGTTGAAGGAACAAGCGGGTTTTTGTTCTGGTTTCTGCAAGGGAGAGTGTATTATCTAGTTGCGTCCAGGTAATAGTCTTGTAGATATAAAGTTGTGCAGCAATTAAATGTCATATATCTTTATCAAATATATCATTACACATTGTGTGAAGTTTAATACTTGTTTTTAATGTACCACAAGAAATATCAAAAATGCTTTTATAAATAAATATTCAATAATTTCAACTGAATATTACATATATCACACCAAAATGTGCACCCATTTTTACACCTTCCGTTTTCGGTAAACTACCCCCTACCCCATACAACTTCCTATTATCGATAACCACCCTATTCCTTTGGCTCTTATTTTCGATATTTTTGTTTATTGTAACTTTTATTTGCGGTTTCAACCACAGTTGCATCATTATTGAACCCATGTTATCTCCCTTCCTCCACCTATCATGATCGATAACCACCCTTACCCAATGACGGGCTTGTATAATGTCCCGGAGGGTCTTCACTACTCGACTTCGTCTCAAATGGGTTATATATATATATATATATATATATATATATATATATATATATATATATATATATATATAACGACCCAATTTTACCAAGAAAATTTTCATTTTTAGTTAACCAAACCAATCTCATAAACCATAAAATCCCAAAACATTTGTTTTCAAATCAACATTCATTACATCATTGTTTTTCCTTTTTAAAACATCAGAGGGTCCCAAACACACCAAAAAGAGAGATAGAGTGCACGTCACGTCATCACGCCTTGTCCTTGTCCTTAGGCTCAGAAGTACCTGAAACAAATCAACAACCTGTAAGCGAAATGCTTAGTGAGTTTCCCAGAGCATACCACACACATTCACATACACATATCCTGATAGCTAAATAAACTATAAACATGTCACAGAAACTATGCAATATGATTCAGCAAAAATGTCATAGGCTACCCCACATGGTCTTTACCTAGGACCGCCATGGGCTACCCCACATGGCCTTACATCCAATGTCATGGGCTACCCCACATGGTCTTTACCTAGGATTGCCATGGGCTACCCCACATGGTTTTATATCCAATGTCACGGGCTCCCCCCGGGGTCTTCCATACCAACATAATATCACATAACATATCAATTCATAAATGAATAACACACACATAACATGATCACATAATGGGCCGGCCTTGGTGTCGTAGACCCATAGGTATGGTGAGAAGACTCACCTCCGTCCGATGAATACAAATACTGCCCTCCCAATAATCCGCAACCTCCCAAGCTGAATAATAACATTAATATATAATCAATGATAAGACCTTAAATTACCTAAGGAAATGCCCAACCTTCAAACTCTACCCCCAAGGCCCAATTTTTCTTGCAAATGGGCCCCAAAATCCAAGTCCAATATCCTTAATGGGCCCCTTGGCCCAATAAGGCCCAACCAATAAGTCCTGGGCCCAAACAGATGAAAAGGCCTCAATATTACAGAATCCAATCAAGCTCAACAGCCAAATGAGGCCTAAAGGCCCAAAACAGCTTAGGGCCCAACTGAGCTGTGTATGTCCAGCGTACCTCCCTGGTACGCGCAGCGTATTGAAGGTCTAGCGACTACGCGCTGCGTACAGACAGTTACGCCCAGCATACAACCGTATTAAGCATTTTTCCCATTAAGTGCTTAATGCTCGAATCCCTCACGTCCAAAAGCTAGATCTAAGTTTGAAAAGATGTCCTAAGGCATAAAGTTGGAAACTTTATGCCCTTGCATGTCTCATACACACCCAACCACTCCATTAAGACCTTTCCAGGGTCTTTTACCCAAGCATGAGGTCAAATCTCTCATCAAGCTTCCATTTTTATACTTCTAAATGACTAGGGGACCTCAGATCTGACTTTCATATCAAAAGGGAAGGCTTAACTCAACAAAAGAGGTCCAAAGTTCATAAAAGGGACAAACCACCAAAACCCTAGCTAGATCTAAAGATTAGAAAGGAAAGATGCAAGATTTTTACCTACAGAAGCTTTGCAAGATGCTTTTGGTGCAGGATCTTGAAGCACCCACTTGATCCAAGCTTGCTTGACCACCCCTTCTTCTTGAAATACACAAAAAAAGGCCACAAATGCACTCTTTAAGGCCTAAGAATGATCTCGCAAGGTTTCCAGGAGTATATGGACGTTGTAAGGCTGTGGAGGCTCTCTAGGGTTTAGTCCAAGGGACTTAAAGTTGTTTAAATAGGCCTCAAGTCCGGAAAATTAGGGTTTTGCGTCCCTGGCGCGTACGTCCCGCGTAACTCAAGGTACGCCCGGCGTACGTATGATTCCTCCGCGACCACTTCCATGCAGTACGCTAAGCGTACACTTAAGTACGCCCAGCGTACTTAAGGGACCAATTATGCAAAAATTATCATTTCTTATGGTTTCAGGACATACCAGAATTTTGGATGTTACAACTCTCCCCCACTTGAACTAGACTTCGTCCTCGAAGTCTGCAGCTGAAAACAGTTCGGGGTAATGCTCCCGCATCTCCTCTTCTGGCTCCCAAGTCCATTCGGAGCCCCTTCGGTGCTGCCATTGCACTTTTACCAACTTCACTTCCTTGTTCTGAAGTCCCTTCGTCTTCCTGTCTAAAATGGCAAACGGCCTCTCGACATAATTCAGGCCCCCATCCACCCGAATATCTGTTGGATTAGGTGTCTAAGCCCATAACTATAATTGGTATGTACTTGAATTGATAGCAGCGCAGTCCTTTTGGGTTGCCCTCAACCTAGCAACTGGACAAGGAAATTATGAAAGGAGAGATGTTAATTTATAAGATTAATAAATTATTATAAATGATTTATTAATATGTTAAAAGATTAATATATTAATTAGAAATCATTATGTTTAATTAATAGTTAGCCAGAAATTAATCAGAATTAATTTTGGGGTTAAAAGAATTAATTATAAAGTGCAGGGACTAGTTTGCAATTAACTAATAGTTTAGTGGAAGGTTCCAGAACCTCCTTGGAAGGAGGTGGACGAAATCCATAGGGGAAACCCTAGAGATTTCGTCCAAGGGGTCCAAATAAGGCCTTTGGATCTTGCTTAGGCTCTAAGCAAAGGATAACTAAGGTTTTCCCTAAACCCTAGATCCCTCAGCTATTTAAGGAGCCTCCTGGCTCACATTTGAGGTCACTGATTTCTTTGGAAGAAACCCTAAGGCCGAAATTGCATACTCTCTCCATCCTCTCTCCTCCAAGTTTCCTTCTTGCTAGTTCTTGGGTGTGATTCCATTAGAGGCATTACATTTGTGGTGCTAAGCTTCCAAGAAGATCAAGATCAAGATCAAGAGGATTATCAATTGTTTGCTATAACAATTGAAAGGTATGTAACTCCTAAACCCTAGTTTGTTAATTTCGAAATTAGCCTCTCTCCTCTAGGGTTCTTGTTTTGCAATTCAAAGTTATATGTTCAATAGTTAAAACATAGATCCAAAGTAGGTTGCATGTGAACTTAGGAATTGTTTTCTAGTTTATTTGTTTTACCTAAATCCCATCAGTGGTATCAGAGTCATTGTTTGTTTTAAATTGAATTGCTATAATTGTTGAATTGCAAATTAGGGTTTATAGCTATTAAACCCTAAAGGCCAAATTTTCGATTTCTAGGGTTTTGGATAAAAGGGTTTTTTCGAAAACCCTAGCCTCCAAAGAACCCTAATCGAAATTAGGGTTAGGGTTTTGAAAACCCTAGCCTCCTCCCTTGTAAATTTCGAAATTGCTAGAAGTTTTAGGGTTTCTTGTTTTGGATAATTGTTACTTAATTAGATTAATTGGATAATTATCTTTACCCTATTTTTCGAAATTTAGAGGGATAAGGATTAGGATTAAATTAATTGATTAATTTAGTTAGATAATCCTTACAAGATTTAATAATTTGATTAATAGTTAATTAAAAGATAAATATTAAATCTAGTTAATTGGTTTATTTAAATTTAAATTTAATAGTTTGAATTTCGAAATTTATATAAACCCTTGAAGTTTTAAAATGTTTTAAAACACACCCTATATATGTATTATGATTAAAAGTTTAATATTATATATGTATAAGAATATGGTCAGTCAAATCGCTAGTATGCCTCATTCACGAAGCTAATCTATAAGGGGGGTATAAGGAAACTGCCTATAAAATGGTAGTTGAATGGGTGTCCACTCTCACCCACCGCTTCCTTGATTAGTGGAGGGTCGTTAGCAGAACGGATTTGATAGGACAACTACTTCTCATTAAAAGTATAATGACATTAAAGAAAGTACTAAAACATTATTTTTAAAATCCCAACTCTAGTTACTTTAGGAAAAATGTGAAAAGTATGCTAATCCATGAAATTGCACATTATGCTTTATTGGTCGTTAGTGGAGCGTGTGTGGTTAACCAGCACACTAAAGGGCACTAATAAAGAGTAGTAATGGGTATCTCATAGTTGTCATTTTGATGGAGCGTGTGTGGTTTACCAGCACATCAATAGTTAATGATAAAGACAATGAGGTTACCAAGCACATTTGCATGGTTATTCACATCTTGTTTGTGATCCTCGGCATCCCAGTCACAAATAGAAGAGCATAATCTGAGATTAAAACATGTCATTGAATAGTTTCAATGTATCTCAAAAGAATTAGGAATTTCACTTCGTTTGTTTCGTCTAATGGTGGAATTGGTGAATCGTCATTCACCTACCTTTATGAAATTTACACTTGGATCTCGGCATCCCATTTCTAAGTTGTGAATCTTCATAGTTGGATCCTAACCTTGATATTTTATCTTTGGGTTATTATATTGAGGTATCGTGAAATCTAACTAAAACTTTCTTTCTTTTCAGATGTCTACTCCTGGAAACACTTCTGCTTCATCCTCCTCCAACCAGAACTTCTCTTT